AACATAAAATCACACTTAAAAATGAAGACCAAGATAGTTGCAAGCCTTGGCTGCTCTGGAAGTTGGACTCTGTGTGATGTAAGGTGAAAGTCTAGACTAGGTAGAAGGTTTTTCATGCTAAACTTGGAACCTTGGAGAATGGCTAAGAGAGCAGGGATATAATCCTGGGGAAGGCCAAAAAGAGCTAGGCCACAGTCCCCTGGGAATGCACAGACACAGTCCTGGGAACACACCTGGGAATGCAGTGTACAGCAAGGCTCTGGAGATAGTAACTTATATATAGATAGGGAGTACCTCAGCTGGGCAGAAGGCAGATGGCAGGGGTAACTCATCCTTGAGGGCGAGACAAACAAGTTCAAGAAAAACAGCTAGGAATGCACCCAAGCCTGGGAAAGCAGGAGATAAGCCTCACAGCTGCAGCTGTGAGTAGGGAGAGTACCTGAATGCTATCTTTAGAGCCTAGCCAATTACAAATGATTGATAATTGTATGCCTGTCCTGTATAAAAAAGAGTCTGTCGGACAATAAAGATGGAGCTTGCTGTATCACCCACACGGAGTCAGCCGCTTGCTTCCCTGTGCGGAACGTTCACCTTTCCCAACACTTCTCTCTTTTTCCTTTTCTATCTGGAAAAATAGTTCTAGCAGACAATAATCTCAGGAGATTCTTATGATTCATTTAACATTGCAAAAGCCTCACAAAGAGAAGTTTTAAACAACATGATTACTTGCATAATATGTTTTCTTCAGACTTTTCTTTTTCCTTTTCAGAGGGGAGTCGATGTGCCAAAGGTACTTGTGTTCTCTCAGGAAGGCTATTTTCTTCACTCCTGGAATGAGACAGTTGAAATGCCTCATGGTATCTTTGTATGGAACACTGCAATAGATAGTTCAGTATGGATCACAGATGTTGGAACAGGTATGCACAGTGGTGATACAAGAAGTATTAGTTGGAGAACAAGGTGCTGGTGCTGCAGGTATTGCTGTAAACAACTCATTTATATTTAAATCTCTCAAACAATTCTGAGACAGATTTGTGCATTTCTTGCCATGAACAAACTTATCAAGTGTTGCACAAAATGCTCTGAAGTTTCGTGAGTTGTGCTGTGTGTCTGCTTACAGCTGCTGAGCTCAGTCAGCATTTCTCCCTTCCACTGCCCAGGAGAAGTACCCTGATACAACAGATGAATATTACTGTAGCCTATGGATTTACTAACCCACAGTCATAATCTCACTATAGAATTTAGTCTGTTTGATGTATTGATATCACTTGTGAGTATCAGGAGATTTTCTTTTTGAATCTTTACACTTGGTTTTAATACCTGTGTTTTGTTAAGATGTTTTGGCACTTTTTTTTTCTCCTTTATTCAGGGAAATACGGACACACCGTGAAACAGTATAGCCCTTTGGGTAAACTTATGCAGGTCTTGGGCACGCCGGGTAATGCTGGCTCAAGCTTGATTCCCCTGCAGTTTGATCAGCCAGCAGAGGTCTTTGTAGAGGAGAATGGAGATATCTACGTTGTGGATGGAGACGGAGGGATGAACAACAGATTGCTCAAACTATCCGATGGTATGGAAAAATGAACTGTCGCAGTAGTTGACCATTGAAAACTGAATTTTAAATAACACAGCTTGGGAATGCTGTTTAGGTAGAGCTGTCATTTAACATTAGTTTGATGACCTTGTTGAATCAGATCCTATTTTATTGCTTGTCACTTCAGGAGAAATCCCCTAATCATTCATGAGAAGAGGCTGAGAGAGTGAGTGAGTTCAGTCTCCAAGAGAGAAAGCTAAGGGGGATTCTTGCTCTGTCTTCAAGTCCATAATGGGAGACTATAGAGAAGACAGAGCCACATGTTTCTCGGAGATACAAAATGAGGACACTGAGCAAAAGATGCAAAAGGGGTGAATTCCAGTTTGATTTTGGAAGAATTCACACTGAAGGTAGTCAGTGTCCGGGTGAGCCAGAGATGCTGTGCACTCTCCATTCTTGGAGATGCTCAAAACATGTTATGAGCAACCTGGTCTAACTTCAGAGTTGGATTTGTTATCAAGGCTAGTCCTGCTTTGAAGAGCAGGTTGGACCTGCAGATGGTGCCTGGAGGTCTTTTATGCTTAAATTGTTCCATGATTCTAATTAGCTTGCGCATATTCCCCAGTTAGGGCAGGGAGTGAGGAGTCTGCACATGCTGCAGTTGGAAAAAGTGGAGGAACTGCTGCTTCTCCTTTGTGCTGTCATAAAGCAGTTGGCTTCCTAATGCCTAGTTTGCAAAATGGTAAATTGTTAAAACTCAAAACTGCCAGGTCACAAGTGTAAAAAATCAATTTAGTAAAGAAATTAATAGCATAATCCTTTCTTTTCTTCTTCTTTTTTTAAAAAAAAAATTCAGTGCTTAACAGAGCCTTGGACTATGGCTCTTGGGTACTAGTGGCTGCATTTCAATAACCATAATCCTGGAACCTCTAATAACAATCCAGTGGTCACTGTGGTGGTTCCTTTATTTCTCAGGTTTATGAATCGAGAGTACTGTGTTCAAAATGTCAGAGCTTAGAATTTTCACCTTTTACAAAATACTCAAAATAACTTTGCAAGGGAATGACTTAAAGCTGTTTTATTTGTTGTTTTCTTGCTGTGGTTTGCTTTTGGGGTTTTTTTTCACCTTCTAATTTGTCATGGTGCTCACTGTTTAGATTATAAAGAGATATGGCTGACTGGGATAAATGGGACCGGCATCGGTGAGTTCAGGATTCCTCACAGTGTCACAATGGATGCTTTTGGACGGGTAAGGAATAATGGAAACTTATTTTCTTTTCATCTTTCAACAGACTTGTTTACAAGTATTTGAACAAAACAAGCTGTATTTCTTTTGTTTGAACTGTTGTGATCTGTGTCATTTTGTGGGGGTTACACTGTTTGGTGTGACAGTCATGCTCTGGAGTTTCATACTGCTGACTCCAAGGTCAACACAAGGATTCTGACCAGTTACACTGTCAATGTCCAGGCAGGTTGTAACAGATTGCCATTGTGAGAGAGCAGGAGAACTGTGCTCTGCAATAAGTATCTACTCAAGCACTTAGCATTTTTACAGAGTACTCTAATTTCCTATTTGGAAATTCCAAATAAGCTTAAGATGACAGTAAGGTTGGGTTGTGGACATTACTTGTGTTTTACATGCAGCTCAAGGCATTCCAGGAGTCTGCTTTTGCCAGGTGTTAATTGTAGTGTAGCTTTTTGTCTGCTGCTCATCTAGAGGAATTATGCAGTCACGTCTTAATCTGATTCAGGGAAAACAAGATTGCTTCATTAAAGCATCACTGGTTTGAGCTAATTCTGCTGATGCTGTCTGAATCAGAATAAGAAGTGTGTATGAAAATCACTTTTCTGCCAAAACTGGAAGAGTGGGAGAGAGAACAGGAGGGACATGGTCACTCTATGCTGAGTGGTAACTGAGAGTATATTCATTCAAAGATGCCAGTTGTGATGGGCTACAATTTTATTGCCAACATAATGTTGATGATCAGCCTAGGTTAAAAAATAATTTTAATTCCTAAGAAATCCAAGAGAATGCTGTAGTAGTGTTTCATTTAAAAATAGTGATGAAAGATCTCAGGCCATCTTGTTTATTGCTCTGTTTTTGGTGATACTCTGGAAAAGTCATGAAGTTTGCTTACCAGACTGACAGGTTGTCAACAGCTAAAACTTCCGTGGTTGTTGTACAAAAGATGGCTTCACTGGAACTGCCTGGTGGTATTGCTAGCCTGCATTATTTGTGAACCCAGTTAGCACAAGGTGGAACAGAGACAAGATCCACAAAACTGGCTAGACAAAACAGCTGAACATGCTCCAAGTGTTTGAGTTGCTCAATATTTGTACGAGTATTAGGCATATGGAGAGTGTTTGCTGACGCAGCCATCACAGACCTGGATCAAGAAATGAGACTTCCACTGAAAAATAAATTGCTAGTGGGCAACAGACCTTTAGACAGATCTTTAGTTAAGTAGATGGGAATATGTCTTCGCTGTGGGGGGAAAAACCTGTCAAATATATCCATATCATAGCCACAAAAACAGAGAGAAGACACAGGTTGCTCTGTTAAAGGAGTATAAAATAATTTGTCTATGTTAATTACATGTCAGTTTTGGTTTATATCTGGGAGTCATATCTACTGATTTAGTTGTGAATGGGGAGGTACATTCTTCCAAGGTCCACCTCTTTTTTTACTACAAGGAACTTCACTCCTGTAAGAAACTAATTCATTTGGTTGGTTCTATTTATGAACAGCTGTGATTTTTCTTCTTAACAGGTATGGGTTGCAGACAGAGACAACAAAAGAATACAAGTTTTTGATAAAGTCACAGGAGAATGGCTCGGAGCTTGGAGTGGCTGTTTTGCAGAAGATGGACCTTACTCTGTCAGGTATTGCTGAACAGTTCTTCCAGAAGCATACAATTATGCAAATAAGGTGTACTCCTAGGGGTGAATTAAAATGCTGATATTTAATGACTGATGACAAGGAGTTAACCAGTTTAATAGTGCTGGGCTGTAATAGTATGCAAAGATCGGCACAGTTGTATCTTCACGGGGGAAGTCCTAGCTTTATCACAAGCCCCGTGGATTTGAATGCAGGACTGGGAACTTAATTTTAAAGTTGTTGTGTGTTACTGACCTTACTGTTGCAGCTTTTACAGGAAGAAAGATTGTCTTGAATGAGTTTTGTGCAGCGTAATCTGTCTTGAGGAGCAGCAGCATGTAGAGCAAAGCTTACAAGTTAATCCTCAGTATTCTATTGCATTTTGTCTCATAGCCTTGGAAGATGTGACTGTTAAGGAGGTTTTGTTTGTATAAAATGCATGCTTGTGTTAACAAAAGATAGCATATGGAGTCCAGAATTCAAAAATACATTTCTGTCTTTCACAGATTTACTGCCGATTACAAATACCTGATTGTAGCTCAGCTGAATATCAACCGGTTAGCAATATTTGCAGCACCATCAATTGGCTCTATTGGAGACTGTGTTATGGTCCACACAATCCAGCTGGCTGATGAAACCAAACCTCACCTCGTGGATGTAGACATGAAGAGTGGAGCAATCTATGTTGCAGAGATTGGAGCTCAGCAAGTACAAAAATACGTACCCTTAAGCTGATGGTTTCTCACAACTGTTGTGGCAGAAGCTGTGTGACATAATATAAGACTTACGGTCACGTTTCCTTGAGTTTTCTGTGTCTTGTGTTTCCTTAGACAAACACAGAACATTGTGCTCCCTGAACTCTGAGCTAAGAATCTGTCTTAGCTGTTCTGCAGTTCTGGAGGAGTACTTGGTCTTGAGCTGTTACTCATTTTAGTAATGCTATGGTGACTTCTGCTCTTGTTGCAATTGTAAAATGATAAACATTTTAATTTTATTATATAAAACTCTACAAAACACAGCTGCTGTTCTTAAATACCATCTTGGGGCTCCTCTACTTAGCCCTTGTGTTTTGTTAAATGGTCAAAACTGAGAGAAGTTTTATAAATTATTTCCTGGGAGGACAACACCTCATTTCAATGTTTCTGATACTGTCCAACACCAAATATGAGGATACTTTATGATGTTGAATTAGATGCTGCTGGATAGTGGTGTCAGTAATGATACTGGCATTTGCCTTAGATGGTTAATGACATAAGTACTGAAAGCTGTTTTCAGCTTTAGCTGAAGTGATAAAGTCTGTAATAAGCTTAAGTGAAATTGATACTAGGCACTTCAAACCAAATTAAAAGTTTGTGCACAGCAGCCAAGTGCTGATTCTTAACTAAATCAGTTCTTAACTGGTTTTATTTATATCAGCATGAGTTTTCTCTTCCATAAGATTTCATAGTAGAACATATTGAAGTTCAAGCTCATTTAAGTTCCTCAAGAAAAAAATTGCAATTTGCTAGGAAAGTCTTAATCAGCATTAGGGACTGGGAGACATATGATTTTCTTCCAATTTCATTGTAGCTCTGTCAGTTAACAGCCATGCATCTGTCTCAACTTGGGAATTTTCAGCTGTTTTATTTCCAGAAGTCAAACTTCATCTACTCCATTAATGTCTAGAGATAAGTTTCTTACACTATATCCTAGCAGATGTCTCCAAGCTCTGTCCTCAAAAATACTGTTTCTTTCCTTTCCCAGACCAGAGTGGTTCTGCTTTCTTTACACGTTGCCGGAAGATTTTCAGTTCATTTGATGGCATAGAGGGAAATTAGTATGGGAAAATGGCTTGGGAAAAATGGCATGGCAGAAATGAGGCAGTGAATGACTGATTACCACAGTAAAGCTGTGGCTACACATTCCATATTTTCTAGCTCTTCAAAACATTTGGGAGGATTTTTGCTGTTTCCACACACTTTCTCTGCTGTGTGGACTATTTTAACACTAATTACCAGTTAAGAGGTGCAGTTTTTTTCTACTTCCTTAGAAAGGGAATATGGGAAATAGAATTATACTGATGTGAAATACTCATTTCTGTGAATGTTGTCAAAAGCAAATGCTTCCTAATTTGGCAGATTTCAACCTATGATCACAAATCTGGGAGTCAGCAGATGGGAAACCTTTCCAGAAAAGTCATATTTTCATGAACAGTACCTCAGCTGTGGGGCCTGATGCCCTGATTTCAGTACTGTTTGACATTAATACACTAAGTGTGAAGGCTTTGCTGTTGACTACATCCACAATAACAAAACCACATTGCACCTGGGGCTGCCCTCAAATAAGCCTGAGAACCAGCACTTCACAGTTATACACTAGCAAATATGATCTGTCGCTCACAGGGTCTTGAATGGGAGCTAGTAAGCAATATTTATTTGCTGAAAAAGCAACTGTACTTCCTCTAGACCTAGATGGATATGTCCACAGTGTGTTGTGTGGATTTTCTAACTAGCTCAGGGATCTCTGCTGTGTGTGCAATGTAGCCTGCACAATGTGGATTTATTTTTTTAACATTTTACTGTAATATTGCAATATTTGAGCTTATCTTGATGGCATAAAGGGGTCCAGGCACCTCCATCCTTGCTCACTACATCCTCTCCTTATTTATTTTTCCTTTGTTACATCCATTTGAAACAGAGCTCGAAGCTCCCTGGGAACATGCTTCTGAGTTCAGTGAAGCAGTGCTGCACTTTTGAATGTTGAAAATAGCTTCTACAAGTTTCTGCTTGCCACATGGATCTGCTTTCAATGCTTTTTTTGCATGGGATTTTGCAGCCCCTGGAAATGGGGAACATTAATCTGGTTTTTTGTCTGGGTTTGCTGAAATAGGCCACGGTGCCAAAATGTGCCTTGCCACTAGGCCTTTGGGTGTCTGTGATAACAAGGGACAAGGGATGCTCATTATTGACTAGTATGAAATGTTTAGACTCCTTTTTACCTCTGCAGCTATGACCAGAACGGAAAAATAATTTTGTGCACTAACTTCCTAATTCTCTGAAGATTTTCTTATGTATCATCTTGAAACCGATTTCTGAAAAAAGGCATAGAAGGATAATTTGATAAAATAAATTGAGAATTTCCCATTATGAAAGGCTCAGGTGCTTTATTTCTGTATTGATACCAATACATTCCATTGCAATGGATTACTTTTCTACATACAGGGCCCTCAACATTTTAATAAGGTATTTAATAATTTCTGATTCCAATATTCAAATGTAATCTAAAATTCCATGTTATCTTTATGCATTACTTTTTCTGTGGCCAATCTCTTTTGCATTCTAATTTATGTATCAAAACAGACACACGAATATATCTCATATGTTTCCCTCTGGGTAATTAGTAAAATGGGATGATGAGTTACATAAGTGCCAAATTTAAAAGAAAAATTAAGCTGTATGCCCTTATGATGCTAATAGAGAAATGAAAAAGAAACTAAGAAAACATTTTTTATGCCAATTCAGGTTCTATTTACGGAAAAGATTTACTGAGCTATCTCTTTAGTTTTTAGAAGATCAAGAAAGGACTGCTCCGGATTAGAAGTACTTGCACAGGGAGAAAACCAACATACTACAGTATTAGCTAGATGAGAAAGAAAACATAACGTGCTTGCTAGAACTCCCCAGAAATCTAATTTAGGTAAGAAGTGACAACTTTTAGGTGTGATCAGTAATCATTGGACTATCCAAGTAATGGAAATAGGAATATTCGATACTTTGATGTCTCTGATGTTGTAGACCTTTTTTTTTATGGAACTGGATGACTTCCCAGGAGATAGGACCAGATCACAAAGTCCTCTCTCTTCACAGAATTACAGAATGGTTTGTGTTGGAAGAGACCTCCAGGATAACCTGGTTCCAACCCCCCTGCCATGGGCAGGGACCCTACAGTTCATCATGATTTTTCTGTGATGTTAAACAGACTTTTTATGCTGTGTGTATGTTTGTGTTCTCATAGTTAGCAATTTATTAACAATATTTGTCTAGCCAAAACAAAAGAAGCCTGAATCAGGTTTGTGCTATGCAAGATGAGTTCAGTGAGGCTGAGCTGTTTCAATAGAAGCTGAAGGGGAGGGTACACAGGTATGTCTGTGGGTTGGCTCGTTACGGTAAGTTCACTGTCTTAAAGTGGTTATTAACCTTTCTGAAGCATTAAGTAGTCAGTTGTCTCAGCTGGCGCTTAATTTTCTTAACAGTCTGTAACCGGAGAAGCCTTCACGAGTGATCTCTCTTCAAGAAGTCACTGAAGTTGCTTGTCTGAAACGTAAGAGGGCACCAAACCCGCGCTGGTGCTTGGTGCACTCCGTGTAACCAGCTACACTTCGCAAATGCAAACAGCTGGTACTTTATGAACGTTTGGAGCAAGTCAACAAAGATCATTAATTGCTCCAGACTTCCTTTCTCTTTTCAAAATAAATGGCTATAAACATAAGCAGATCATAGAATCATAGTCATTTTGGCTTATTGCTACTGGATTTATGTCCATCTTTTATTTCCGCTGTTTTTCCTAGAAAGAAAAAATCAGTAATTCAGTGTCCAGAGACAACTGGATATGGTGAATTGATTCTTTCAGTCCTTACAGCATTGATTTCAATGGAATTATTCCTGATATGTTGCTTTGGAAACATAATAATTTATAATAGCACAACTATAACAACATAATT